AGCAGGAATTTAGCTTTTGCTCTGTTGGCTCACCTCATCACAGGTTAAGAGAAGTATAACCACCCAAAGTTAAGAGAAGTATAACCAGTTGGAAGAAAATGAAGTGATTCAACCAAATGCTAACATCATGCAAAGATAGTCCCAACCCTGCAGATTCCATCACTGTAGGAGGGTTAAGAAGCAGATGATCAGTTAGCTTTGTCCAACTCTCTCTATCTCCCAAAAAGGTGAACACCACCAGCTAAAAAGAATCTCTTCACACACAAGAGCCTGGGATTACAGAAGAAACAACATAGACAACCGAACAGCTGGAAGCTGTGGCCTCTCTAGCTGACCATACTGACATACTTGGCACTCAGAAAGCCACCAATGCTCAGTCAGAGAGATGTGCTCAGTCTTCACGTCTTATAAGCAGATCCTTCATTCTCAAAAACCCCAAACACCACCCCACCATGCTCCACTTCTCAATTACTTCTCTGAACAATCTTTGAAAGCTACTCTTCTGAACAACCAACAGCCACTCTACTGAGCAATATGCCAATGGCTAAATCACAGCTATTTTGGTTACTAAAAGAATTTCTAGGTTTTAATCAATAGAAAATTATCTTCTGAGACTCCATTTTCCAATGTTTTGGTCAAAGCCATTGGCATGAAATCAATGACACTGTAATTTCACTATGCTATGCTAAATACCAGTTTTAACAATTAATGTAATCAACTCTGTTTAATCAGTGACTGTAGAGATGAAGCTTCATACTCACTTCCAATGACAGTTTCTTCCCAAGGAGAAGAATGGGGACAGAACATCTTGTCCTAAGAAATTAAGTCGTTGGGAATAATGGCTTGCACTGCATATTAAAATCTTCCGCTGCTATGTAAAACTTCACCTTTAACGTTTTTAAGTGGACAAAGTATCTTGCAATGCAGAATTAAAAGGTAGGAAATTATGAAAGAGCAGTCGGAAGTTTCCTGAATGAGGTTGAATCTGACTGTCAACACTCAAAAACTCTGGCAGCAGCACAGACTGCTTCTGCTCCATCAGATGAAGATGTTCTGTCATAGTCCTACAGTAAGAATTCAAACACCCTAAGATGAGTGATTGAAATTGCCAGGGAGAAAAAAAACACCCCAAAACCAAAGGAAAAAACCACGCACACGAAAAAAAACATCCACCTGTCCAGAAGAAAAAACCAAACCAAAACCAAACAAACAAAACCCAGGGATTACATGGCCTACAATTATTATTTTTCAAAATAAGTACAGATTGAGATATTCAAGTGACTTCTCCAATTCAATTTATACAGTAGCACCTGGTGGTACTTGGATCATCAGGTGGCATTTATGCTAGCCAAATAGTTTAGAAATGCTTTTGCAATGCCCAACTGCACTTAGAGGAACAAATGGGAGAACCAAGGACACGTTACTGACATCTGGGATGGCCAGGGTCACACAGCTTTCTTTCCCCTTGTATCCATTAATAACAAGAGTAAGCTCCTCACTCAAGACACCAATCCTGCACAAAGAAGCCTAAGCAAGGTTATCTTCCTATATACAGCAGCCCCTCTCCGAAGCCATCATTCCTAGGACCACCAAGGCTCCCTAATACCCAGAGGTGAAACCAAAAAAAGCACCAAGGTATCAGAAGTGTTGATTTTAGTCTCTTTCCTTTCAGCTACTGCTCTTGGTGCTCCCACAGCCCTTCAACCATTACAGACTCAAAGCTGTACTACTGTCCTCATTCTTTGCCCGGTGTTCCAAGAAAAAGAAGCTTACAGAGTCATGCTACACATGAATGCTTATGTGTGTAGAATGAACTCTGAACTCATCCCTCAATTTTGGAGAAATGACTAAAAAAAACATGAAATCTCAGTGATAATCAACTACATATAACTTCTGCAAAAATATGTATGTCCCTCAAACAGGTACCTAAATGCCCCTGCAGAAAAGGTCTGCATGCTGAATATAGGTTGTAATCAAACATCACACAAAATACAGGAGAAAAAAAAAAGAAGTAGTTATTGTACAGCATTAAAAAATCAGAGCCATAGGAAACCAGTCTGTTGGTCCTGGTATCAATTAACCATTTGATCTTATTCTCATGACTCCTTCCTTCAGAAGACTTATCTTTCTATTCTTACATGTGTCATCCAGCACTGATGAACCCCACTCACCTGCTGGGATACTGTCCTGGTTTTGCCTGGGATAGAGTCAGTTTTCCTCCAAGTACAGTGGTATGCTTAGCATTTAGTGTGAGAAAATCACTGATAAGACACTGATGTGTCAGTTGTTGCTAAGTAATGCTTATCCTAAGTTAAGGATTTTTCAGTTTCCCATGCTCTGCCAGCACACAGGAGCACAAGAAGCTGGGAGGGAGGATGGCCAGGACAGCTGACCTGAACTAGCCAAGGGGATATGCCATAACACTAGGCACCACGCTCAGTATATAAACTGTGAGGGACTGGCCAAATGGGTGGATCGCTGCTCAGGCATCAGTCAGTGGCTGGTGAGCAACTGCACTGTGCATCGCTTGTCTTTTCTTGGGTTTTATTTCTTGCTCTTTTTGTTACATTCCTTTTCATTACTATCATCACATTTTATTATTACTATTTAGCTTAGTTATTAAACTGTTCTTATGAGCTCTACTTTCTTCTCAGTTCCCTTCCCTATCCCACTGGGAGCAGAGAGGAGTGAGCCAGCAGTTCTGTGGTGTTTAGTCGCTGTCTGGGGTTAAACCACGACAGAGACTTAGATCTGTATTCTCTCTGTATGACCAACTACCACCATCTTATACCCTTCCAAAGAAAGGGCACAAACCTTGGAGATAAACCCGTTACCTAGCACAAAGATTCACAAATTTTCTTTATATCCAGAAGTAACGCTTTTTCCATTGAAATGTAACAAAGATCATCAAAACACTACTCAAAGTCCCCACCTTATTTTAGTGGGCTATCAAGAGCAAATTTACTACTACAAACACTGTGTTTCCAGTACAAGAGCTACTTACTCCAATGAATTCAATCTCGTCTTCACTTTCACTTGGTGATTTACTCTTGTCAATACTGTCAGTGCTAGAAGACTCCATTATCTAAACAGAAACAAACCAAAGCATACCTCAACATTTTATTTTGTAAGTTTTCTTGTAACTATACAACATTTTCCAATAAACACCTACTCTGGCTTTGCAGCATACCTGCACTCACCGAGCCTTTTCACATCACTCACTAACGATTATCGGTAACACCAGAGGAAGCAATCATAATGTTGACTCGATCACGCTACTCTCTTTTCCCAAAGAGGCAAAACGTGTCCTGGCCTAAAAAGCACCCCCATAGTGATGCTCCCGAGCAGCCGGATCTGTGGTGTGCTCCGTCCCAGAGCCTCGCAGCGGGCTGAGAGCAGCTGACCGCAAGGAACGGCTCGGTTCAGGCGAAACGAGCAGACCCCGGTACTTCGGTTGCCCCTGGCCACCTTAGGGCCACAGCACAGCCAGCAGG